TTATCTTCTGTGTCTGTGTTAATTGGTTTCCCTTTTCTTTGTTGAAGAGGGTCTGTGCAATCCTTCTGCCTAGTCCGCCATCTTGCCCCGCCTCCCCACATTTTTTTTTTTTAAACCACATCAAATCTTCTGCTTCTAGGTATGCCTGATATCTGCCTCTCTCCCAACCCCACAGCACCTTCCCACAGAATCAAAGCCTCTTTTCAAATTTACAATCACTGACAGGAACAGAGTACCCAATAAGCAACGTAAGCACCTCTGCTTGTGGGTTAGCCTGATATTCTCCTGTCAGAAAAAATCAAATGACCTCTAAGAAAACTTGCTTGAAAAAGTAGTATAAATCCTTATAGAAGCAAACTGCACATTTTTCTCCTGCTTTCTAGGGACAAGCACTTACATATGTATTTCTAGACAGAGAAAGATTAATCGAAACACAATTTCATCACCTCTTTTTGTATGGGCTGAATTAGACTTCATTTATGTCACATTATATCATTAACACACACAAAGACTCATTCTGTGAGCTAACATGTTTTAAAGCGTACAGTCTGAACTGAGAACAAACTGCTTTAATAGACAGAGGGCCATTTGTGAAGGTCCTTGGGAGCTCCAGTCGTTGCTTGGAATATATATATATATATATATATAATTTATTTTTCTACTTTGAAAGGTTAAGAAGCTTTACTTTCTACTGAAAACTGTGTTTGTGCTAGATCCCCGGGGCTTGTTGCCTGTAAGCACTGTTGGTAATCCAATATGATTGATGTGATTATGCCATGTTTATGGGCATGCCACAGCTAGGAGAAAACCTTCTGGAGAACAGTTCCCACTAGCTCGTTCAAAATAATGGCTTCCCCCTAGGTCCCTAGTCTCATGGGACAACTCAGTCAATTGGCTAACTTAGTTCACAAAAGTAATCTGCCTCCTAATGAAGTGAGTAGTGTCTAGAGTCTTAAAAACTTGAGAATGGGGGAAATGATCCAACATGGCAGACTGGGCAGATATACTACCCACACCCTCTATAACACAGACCCTGGAAACCTAGTAAAGCAGACAGGGATAACAATCCTGGAACCCCAAGCTTCAAATGAAAGGGTAAAGGAATGGATCAAATACTGATTAGAAGAAGAAACTAAATACAAACAGTGAACAAGGAGACAGAATGGTGAATTTCCAATTAGCTTGGCACAGCATGGTCATTTTGAATTATTGAAAGCAGCATTCCCATCAGGGCAGGAACCAGGTAAATGGCTACGCTTGCTCGGGTCTGCACTGGCACCCACACCGGTGACCAGCGACCAGAGAAGTGTGATTACCTTGTTTACCCCATATACAACCTCGTGAGGAGTTCTGGTCTCACGGCAAAGGTGGCAGTTGTTCAAGGAGATAGTTAGCCACATAGTCCATGTCATTGTTAGGTGCTGTCTAGTCATCGCTGACTCACAGCAACCCTATGCACAGCAGAACAAAACACTGGCCGGTCCTGTGCCAGCTTCACAATCCTTGCTAAACTTGAGCCCATCGCTACTGCCACTATGTCAGTCCATCTCGTTGAGGGCCTTCCCCTCTTGCGTTGACCCTCCACCTTAGCAAGCATGACATCCTTCTCCAGTGAATGGTCCTTCTAAGAACATGACCAAAGTATTTAAGACGAAGTCTGGCCATCCTCGCTTCCAAGGAGCATTCCGGCTGCACTTCAACTAGGACAGATTTGTTAGTTCTTTTAGTAGTCCATGGTACTTCCAGCATTCTTTGCCAACACCACAACTCAAAAGCATCGACTCTTTGGTCTTCATTATTCATTGTCCAACTCTCACATGATTGAAAATACCATGGCTTGTGTCAGGCACACCTTGATCCTCAAGGAGACATCTTTACTCTTCAGGACTTGAAAGAGGTCCTTTGCAGCCAATTTTCCCAGTGCTATACATGGCTAGGAGCTCTGGTGGCGTAGTGCCTAAGGCATTTGACTGCTAACTAGAAGGCTGGAGGTTCAAACCCACCACCCACTCCTCAGAAGGAGGTTGGGCAATCTACTTCCATAGTGTTACCACCTCGGAAAATCAAGGCGGGGTCACTATGAGTCGGATCTGACTTGATGGCTGTGCATTGCATTGTGTTCTTTTGTACATTGTCTGATGTCCTGATTGCTGCTTCCTTTGGCATAGATTGTAGAACCAAGCAATGTGAAGTCTTTGACAACTTCAATCTTTTCTCCATTTATCATAATGCTGCTTATTGGTCCAGTTGTGAGGACATCTTGTTTTCTTTATTTTCAGCTGCAATCCATACTGCAGAATGTAGTCTTTAATTTTCATCAGTAAGTGCTTCAAGCCCTCTTCACTTCAGCAAGCAAGATTGTATCATCAGCGTATCGCAGGTTGTTAATGATTCTTCCTCCAATCCTGATGCCACATTCTTCTTCTTATAGTCCAGCTTCTCAGATTATCTGCTGAGTATACATATTGAATAAGTATGGTGAAAGGATACAACCCTGACACACTCCCTTCTTGATTTTAAACCATGCAGTATCCCCTTGTTCTGTATGAATGACAGCCTCCTGGTCTATGTACAGGTTCCTCATGAGTACAACTAAGTGTTCTGGAATTCCCATTCTTCTCAATGTTATCCACAATCTGTTATGATCCACACAATCAAATGCTTTTGCAAAGTCAATAAAACACAAGTAAACATCTTTCTGGTATTCACAAACAATCCATATCCTCTTCCTATTCCTCACTCTTCTTCCTTCGTTGCTCTAGGCTTCGTTAAAAAAAAAAAAAATTATATATATATTATATATAGCAACCCCTCCTTGGGTTTCCGAGGCAGTATCACTACAGAAGTAGATTGCCCCATCTTCCTTCTGAGGAGTGGCTGGTGGGTTTGAACCACCAGCCTTCTGGCTAGCAGTCACTAAGTGCCTTTAGCCACTATGCTACCAGAGATGATACAAGTGCTTCCAAGATACTATCAAGAAAGTGAAAAGACAACTCACAGATTTAGGAGAAAATATTTGCAAGCCATACATCTGAAATCAAGGAGAAGCAGTCAGCAAAAAATTTGGACCTTGGTGGTTTACTTACACCAAGAAGTAGATTGGGGCAGGGGGTGGGGAAGAACCTGTGAATCTGGAAAAAAAAAAAAAAAAAAGCAATCAGTTCAATGGGAGAAAAACCAGGATGGAGATGGTGTTTTTACAGGATAAAATAAGGCAGGCCTCAACCCAAAGTTACTGTTTATTAATGTTCTTATTTTTACTGAGAGGTTACAACCAGCAATTTCTATTCTATCTAGTGTTTTCAGTGGTGCTACTGTGCAGGGGACAAGAAAATAAGGTGTAAAACCGTATGTCGCTTTGGAAAAAGTGGTTTCATCAAACAAAATGACAGAGGAGCAGCTTGTGTTTAAGTAGGACATTTTAGTCCTAGCAGGCAGCCCAGAAACATGAGACATTTTGGAACCCTAAGTGACTGAGGGGCTGGGCTCTCAGAGGCTGGCTTTATTCACCCTCAATTTTCACTTGCACTGACTTATAGCAGCTTTCTGTTGCCAGGGCAGGCAGATGAGAACTAGCAGACAAGCACATTGACTAAGGGCCCAAATTTTTAATGCTCTGCTTAACTCTTACTCAGTTCTGCTAGAAAAATCTCCCTAAACAAAAGCAAAATTCTTATTTTCATCTCAGATCTCCCCACACAAACAAATCCATTGAGTCAGTTCTGACTTATAGCAACACCAGAATCATACAGTTAATAAATATTTATCAATAATGTACAGAAACCTTTGTACAAGTGTTACAACCTAACAGAATTACTTGCCATGTGCTAACAGGCTCTTCTCAGTAACAGTTTCTGGAGTAGCCAGAACTAGGACACAGTTTTTGTTTCTATTTTTAAGGTGGTTTTCCTAATCATAGACCAAATGCTGGATACCTAAGGGTTAGTGTTCTTCTATATGAAATAGGGCTGATTATTCTTTTTTTCAAAGGAAGAAATTGAGGCAGAAAGAGGCTGGTTTGAAATGATGACTAAGTGCAGAACTGCTTGCTCCTTAGAGCCCCGGAGATGTATAATCCCAGGAGTGTGTTCCCTGCATCTGTAGCCAAAGATTGTTGAATTGGTGTCAAAGTTCATCATTTATTCTCTCAAGAAATGTGAAAAATATTTGCCTTCCTCTTAATTTCTATGGAGCACTGCATAATTTATGAAGCCCTTTCATATCCATTATCTTGTTTTAATCTCATCTCAACCCTAAGGTTTTATCATCATTGTTTGTCTTAGTTTCCTAGTGTTGCTATAATACAAATACCACAAGTGGGTGGTTTTAAGGACAGAAATTTATTTCCTCACTTCAGGAGCTGAGTCCAAATTCAGGGTGTAGCTCTAGGAAGAGTCCTTTCTTGTCTGTCTCAAGTCTCTCAGAGCTGGCAATCCTTGGCGTTGCCAGGCTTGGAGATTCGTCTGCCTCTTCCATCAGCTGGTGTCTGTTTTCCCTATGCGCCTGCGTGCCTGTCTCTGTGTCTAACCTGCTCCTTTGATAACTCAGAGGTGATTAGATTTAGAACCAACCCTACTTGGGTGTGATCCAACATCACAACGAAAACCCTACTTCCAAACAGGATTCCATCCACAAGTGTAGGAGTTAGGACTCCAATACATATTCGGGGGTGGGGGCACAATTCAATCTGTAAATTCCATTTGACAAATCTGAGAGGCTAACCCCTTTGCCCAGCTTCACATGGTTTCCAAGTGGTGGCACCAACACTAGGTTTCAATTTCATGACTTCTGTCTTTCCGTAAGACATGCTGCCTTTGAAGTCTGGTCAGGACTTCATTGTATGCCTTTTCTTTTTATGCACAGACTCAAACAAAGGACTTTTTATTCCCCTCCCCAACCGGGAAATAAAGGAATCCCTAATGAGTACTTCTGCAACCCAGGGCAACGGTATACCAGATCAGAAGTTAGACACTTTCCCACTGGGGACACAGGTAATGTATTCATTTTCTAGACGATCTATTGAGTGGTCAATAAATTAATACTAATAATTCAATGGACACTATTTATGAAGGTGTAAGAGGACTTACTTGTTACTAGTAAAAAGTTAATGAGAATTTTTTTGAGTTTGGGTATATAATACCTTCATCTTATAAAAAGACAGGAGTGTCATGTAGTAGGTTTCTGTGTCTTTGGAAACACTATCATTGAGAAATGATCTAAATTACTATTTTTTATCTTCCATTTAAAGGACATGAAGACAGAGGACACTCCAATTTATAGTTTAAGGTTAAGTAGCACTTCTTAGATTAAAAAAGAAAGTTTTCTGATGTGACTAAAGTAAAAGAAAAAAGGAAATTAAATATACTTGTCATATATACTTCCAGTTTAAGGAATAAGGAAATGGTATGTCTTTCTCAGCATGATTACCAAAAAGATACTGAATAGGGTAGTTAAAAACAAACATACATGCACACAAAATCCCCAAATGCTTTTCATTTCGTGTCAGTCCTTGCCTAGTTAGGCCTCAGCTTAATTTTCAGCCTGTTAAAACCTCCAGTAGCTCCTCAGCTTCGTTGCTGTGTGCCATCAGAAAAATTCCCATGCTGAGCTGTTGTAAGCAGAGGAAATACAGTTTTCCACCGTTTGTCATATCCTTTACCTACCAAAGATACTTTGCATTTTCAGAGTCTAAAACAACTTCGTCATCCCAGCAGTGTGATCACTTCTTGGACCTTACTTGAAGGTCTATTTCCCTAGCTTGCAAGGAGGGGCTTCCTTGTTAATAGGAAGTATTCTGAACCCTTGGTCTAATAAGCTCATGTCTGAATGCCCATGGACTCCCTTCTACCTAAACTTTCAAATTTGTTTTAGATGCAGCAAGTGGCAAGAAGGGAAATGTCAAGTGACAGTCACCAGGAAGACGGTAAATATTTGCTCACCAAACCTCTTTTCCCACACTAATCAGGGAAATCTGCATTTAATGGGATTGGGGAGGAAATGAAGATGGCTCAGCTCTGGGCCCTGTTGGTCAGCTCCCTCCTGCTTTCATCAGGAGCTGCCTCCTTGATTAGAGACCTGGGAAGCTTTTTTGCTTGAACAGTGAAACATCCTGCCCCCTCGTTTTTGACTTTTTGTGTTTGCTCACTGTTAGAATTCTTTTTTCTCACCTTTCTTGCGACCTTTCGGATTTTTTCCCCCCTTTACTGGTTTGGAAGTTATAAAGTGTTTCTATACTTTTAGTGTTACTTCAAAAACTATAATAAGTGTCTTTAATTTATGCAATTTAAAATTCACCAATACCTTAACTCTTCTTTTGGATAATGTGAAGACTTTAGAGTCCTTTACTCCATTTAATCCCTCCTGACTTATATAGTATTATTATAAATTTTAATTCTCTATATATTATTTTTAAAAACTTACAAGACATTCTTTTTCATAGAGTCAATATTCATTTAAATTTATCCATGTATTAATCACTTTGTTTACTCTTAATTTACTTTTTTAATCTAAGACTTTCTTTCTGAGATAATTTCCCTCCTGCTTAAAGCAGATCCTTTTGAATTTTCAGTATGGCTCTACTGGTGGTAAATTATTTTCATTTTTGTCTGAAAATACCTTTATTTCATTATCAGTCTTCTTTTTAATGCATTTTATTGAAATATAATTTATGTGCAGTGAAATATACAAAACTAAAGTGACATGGGTCAAAACATGTATTTTTTTTCTGCAGTGTTTCCTCCCCTCCCCACACACCCCTGTCAACCAACAAAGTTTCCCTCCATATATAAACCTTTCCTTGACCCTCCACAGCAACGAACTAATACTATGTTTGTCCTTCTGTGATTGACTTATTTCACCCACCATAATGTCCTCAAGTTCATCCATGTCATGCAGTGTTTTGCAGACTCTACTTATCTTCTTTAGTGTGCATAGCATTCCATTGTGTATATGTATGTACCATAGTTTGGTCACCCACTCTTCCATTGCTGGGCATGTAGGTTGTTTCCATTTTTGGTTATTGTAAATAGTGCTGTGATTAATATGTGTTACACATATTTGTTCCTGTCCTGGCTCTCACCTCTCTGGGATATATACCTAGTAATGGGATTGCTGGGTCAAATGGTATCTCCAATTCCAGCTTTCTAAGGAATCGCCATACTGCTTTCCACAGTGGTTGTGTCACTTCACAGTCCCACCAGCAGTGTATGAGAATCCCAATCTCTCCACATCCCTGCTGGCATTTGTTATTTTCTGTCTCATTGAACTTTGCCATTAGTGCTGGGGTGAGATGGTATCTCATTGTTGTTCTGATTTGCATATCTCTGATGGCCAGTGACTGTGACCATCTCTTCATGTATTTGCTGGCCACCTGAATAACCTCCTTGGTGAAGTGTCTATTCATGTCTTCTGCCCATTTTTCAATTGGATTGTTAATCCCTTTGTGTTGAGGCAATGGAGTTTTCTATAAATCTTAGAGATTGTCAGTTATGTAATTATCAACAAGTATGAATTTGTTGCTATCGTTTTGTTATGTGCTTTTTTGTGGTGTTGATTTCTTTGTTCCATATAATTTTCTGTGCTGAGCTTGTTTTATTTATGAATTGTGTTATCTCTTCCTTTGTTGCTATTGTTTTAGTATTTGCTAAATATTTGTGCTGGTCCTCTTTTTTTATTTTGATATGAAGGTTTATCATTTTTCTTTGAGGTTATCCTGTGATTTATAGTTTTCTTCCCAAGGGTAGAACAGTCTGTTCTATCTTGTAGTTGTCTTGATTTCCCTAGCGTTTAGAAGTTCTGTAACTACACAATTTTTCCCCCCTTTTTGGTTTTTAGTTGTCCTCATTTGTCAGTTGATGTCTCTGGTTCCGTTTACAATCTTGTAGGCTTATTTACTTTGGATACTTCTATACCTGGGTTGTTTTCTGGGTTATGTCATCATGTGTGTTAATTGTCAGTTGTTGTTTGCTTTTGTTGGTTCTCTGTCCAAAGGATTCCCTTTAGCATCTCTTGTAAGGTTGGTCTGGTTTTAACAAATTCCCTTACTTTCTGCTTATCTGGAAATGTCCTAATTTTACCATCATATTTGAGGGACAGTTTGGTTGGGTACATAGGTCCTGGTTGGAAATTTTTCTCTTTTATTTCATTATCATTCTTAAAGAATGTTTTTACTAGGTGTAGATTTCTAAATTGGCAGTTATTTCTTTCAGAATATTAAAGGTATTTCACTGTATTCTGACTTTTATGGTTGCTTTTGAGAAGTCAGCTGAAAGTTTATCACTTCTTTAAGGATAATTTGTATTTTATTCTCTGGCTGCTTTTAAGATTTTCCAGTTCTCTTCCTCTTCCTCCACCACTACCACCACTACCACCCCCACCCCCACAGTTTTACTCTGAGGTATAGGTTTATTTTTATTTTTCCTGTTTGGTGTCTACTGTGCTCGAATCTGTGAATTATGTCTTTCACTAATTCTGGAAAAATCTTCAAATATTGTTTGTTCTAGTCTTTCTCTCTTGTCCTTTTGGGTTTCTTGATTAAATAAATATGTTATATTTCCACTCTGTCCTCTTTGTCTCTTATTCTGTCTTTTATGTTTTTAAAATATTTTATTCTGGTCTACATTCTGGATAATTTCTTTTGACCTATATTCCAATTCACTAACATTCTCATCAGCTGTATCTAATCTGTTATTAAGATTGTCTCTTGAATTACTAATTTCATTTGTATTTTTCAATTCTGAGAGTTTGATTTGGTTCTTTCTCAAATCTACTGAATCACTTCTTATAAGCAGAAAATGTCTAGCTTTTTTCCTACTTAAATATAGTTAGTTTAGTTGTCTTCTGTGCTGTGTCTGTTAATTTCAGTATCTGATTTTATTTTCCTTGTGATCTGCTGTCTGCTTTTCTGCTGATTATTACTCATGTTGTCTTATTTAATTCTTGTTTTCTTTTGTTTTGGTCATTTGCTGGTTATTATATTTGAAAAAAGTATTAGTATAAATAATCTGAACTCTTGTATGAAGGTGTCTTTTTAGAACAGATTTCATTGTGTGGGTTTCCTAAATCACCAACAGTCTAGCATCATCTTAAACCAAGTTCAAGGCTTGAGGTTCCCTGGACCACCCAGCTAAAGCAAACCTGGATTACCAATCAGTACAGGGGCTGGAATTTTTTTTTTTTTTTTTTTTTCAAGTTTACCTTTGCTTTGGTGGTTGTGTCCCTTTTAGGATGTGTGGGCCAGGGGAGTTACATTCCTCACTTTGGATGGACCCTGTACTCTGACTTCAGCCCCTGTCACCCTAAAGGGCCTTAAGTGCTAAACTTATCTATTTGGGTTCTTGCTGTTTCCTGGATTTTGTCCTGAAAACTCCTCACTATTCCTTTAGCTCTTTTGTTCAATAGGAAGGATAGTCCGAATTATCTCATTTATTATTACTTGAAACTGAATTGACCAATTAACCAATACATTTGATTCTTGGGAGCTCTGGTGGCAAAGTGCCTAAGACATTTCTATTAGCCAGAAGGCTGGCGGTTCAAACCCACCAGCCACTACTCGGAAGGAAGATTGGGCAATCCGCTTCTGTAGTTGATACTGCCTCAGAAACCCAAGGAGGGGCTGCTGTGAGTCAGATCCGACTCAACGGCAGTGAGTTTGGTTTTATTTGGTTTGATTCTTAGCTGCTTTTTGTTACTTAAAGATACTGTCCTACAACCTTTCACCCACTGTATATGCTGACCCTGGGTAAAATATTGGTGTCTTCTAGGTCCTTGAGAGTTAAAAGGCATTTTTTTTTTTTTAAGGTAAATATGACTAACTCAATTATAGTATTTTTTTGTTTCCTAAGGAAACCGTTCAAGCACGTGAAGCTCTGAAAGCGCCAAGGAGCACAGAGCCTTATCTTTTTGTCGGCTGCTCTGCCTGCCCCACTAGGAGGCTTTTTGGAGATGACGGATACAGTTATCTGAGAGAAATGCTTTATGGCTGGGTCAGTACCTGTGCCAGAGATTTTCATAGGGTTTGCATTCCTTGTCATTCGAATGGACTGGAATAGTGGTTCCTGTTGTGTGAACTCTAGGACTTCTGGATGGCTTCGAGATGGGAGTGGGCTTAGCTTTAATGCAAGGAGTTATGAAATCATAGGCCTCTAACTATTTCCCACAGATTCAATACATAAAATCACAACTATTGTCAAGTGGAGGTGAGTTCATTAGCTTTTTTTTTTTTTTTTTTATGAAGATGATGTCTAGAAAACTCTGACACCTAGTTTTCTGAGGGAATTCCCACAGGATTAGATTGACATGAAATTTGTCCCCATGTAACACAGATTCTTTACTGTTTATATAAATGTTCCATAGGGCTTTTGTTCCATATGGAAGTCCTTTTTATCACTTTATGCTACCATTTCTAAAATTTAAATAATTTTTTTTCCCCAAGAACTTTTTCTGGTATACATAGAGTAAGTCTAGCAAACAGAGGTACTCTAACTGGGCCAAGAAGCATTCTCATCATGTTTTGTTTTCCCCTTGATGGCGGTTAGAATTCAGACGCTACTCGCCTCATCAATCCAGAGTTCAATCCCCAGAGAAGATGGGTAGAGAAGGCTACCGAGTATCTTTTTTGGCCAGTAAGTCATCGGGTTCTTCTCCAGAAAAGGAATTGAAACAAAAACCTGATACATACCAGCTTACCCATGATGCCTCATTGGGTAAACGCCTGGATGTGGGGGACTCTAGCCAGATCCATCCCTATCAGTTTCCTTCAGATGTTGGTCTGGAAAATTATGATAGTCATTATCCTCAAACTCTTTCCCTGCATGAAAGTCTTGGTAAAAGGCCTCACAGAAACAAGAGCTACCGAGAATATAGCACAAAGCCTTCAAATGACATGAAGGCCACTGCATCCCATCCCTGTGGAGACTTGCTGACTTCTCTGTCTAATCCTGACTACAGCACCAGAAGGCTCTTGAAACTTAGTTCAGGTAATAACTTCTTGTCAATTTACAGATCTTTTTCATAGGTGTGAAGATAGAAGGTATAACTGGGAAGTTTGGAATTAGTATTTCTTAAATTACATTAGCATTTCTTAAATTGTATTTCAGGGTCACCAGTGGTCCATGGAACCTCCAGAAATCTGCAGGGTATGAGTGTAACATGATAGAGAAAATTTGTAGAAATGTGAGCTTCATAACTACATGTTATTTTAGTTAACTAGCATTTTGGGAATATTTCTAGCAGCATCTAGTCTTCTCTGGTCACAGTGACTTCTATTCTGAGTTACTTTCAGAAGAGACTGGTTGCAGGGTAACTGATGGAGACCACTCTTCAGTTACTTGTTAATTCATTCAACAAATTTGTTGAACACCTACTATGTGCCAGATACTCTTTGTGCTCTGCAAAAATAGTAGCAAACTAAATAAATAAAGTCCCTACTTTTGTGGAGTTTACATTCTAGTAGGATAGTAGTTATGAAAAATAAGTTAACATATTAATGTATGTCAGGTTATGATTAGGGCTGTGAAGAAAAATAATATAAAAATATAGAGAATAACGTACTATTTTAGATAAGAGAGGTCAGGGAATGCTTCTCTGATGAGCCACTATAAAAGAAGAGAACTAAATGGAGTGAGAGTGAAAGCCATGTGGATAACTAGAGGAAAAATTCGTAAACAGTGGAAATGGTAAGTGCAAAATTCCTGAGACTGGAACATGCTTGGCATATTCAAAAGAATGAGACCAGTGTGGCTGCAGAGGAGTGAGCAAGGTGAATGTACAGATGAAACCAGAGAGGTCACCAGAAATTTATTCTTGTGAGAATGGAAACCATTGGAGGGTCTGTAGCAGAGGAGTAACATGATCTGACTTAAAAATTACTCTTGTTACTGGGTTAAGAATAGACTGTGGGGAGCAAGGATAAAAATAAGGAAACACTTTAGGATAGACTCTGGATGAAAGAGAGTGGTAGAGGTGGTGAGAAGCAGTCAGATTCTGAATATGTTTGGAGTTAGCACCCCATTATTTACTGATGTATTGAAGGTGAAGTGTGAGAGAAAGAGGGTCAAAGATGACTCCAAGGTTTTTTGAGTCTGAATAACTGGAAGAGCAGTAACACAGTGCCTAAGGCACTTGACTGCTAACCAGAAGGCTGGTGGTTCAAACGCACCAGCCACTCCTCGGAAGGAAGGTTGGGGAATCTACTTCTGTAGTGATACCACCTCAGAAACCCAAGGGAGGGGTTGTTGAGTCAGGTCTGACTCCACAGCACATAACAACAACAACAATAACAAAATGGGCTGTCACCTAGGGAGTGAATATAGATATAAGAGAGATCTGAGGATTGATTCTGGTCCTCCAACAATTTGAAGTCAGGTAGATGAAGAGGACCCAGCATGGAGACCAAGAAAAGAATAGCCAACAAGGAAGGAGAAGAAAAAGCCAAGAGAAAGTAGTATCTTGGAAGCCAAGTAACTCATGTTTTTCAAGGAGGGGAGTGATTAATGCTATGTGAGATGCTTATGATAGAGTGAGAATGAGCTTTGGGAGTGACAATGAATATGATATTTGGCAACACAGAAGACATTAGTGAATAGCTACAGGGAAAGCTTGAGAATAAAAGTCTTACTGAGGTGAGTTCAGTAAAGAATTGGAGGAAAGGCAATAAAGGTAATGAGTATATACAACTCATTTAAGGAGTTATGGAGTAAAGGGGAGCAGAGAAATGGAAGGAGAGAGGGTCAAGGAGATCCTGAAGGCAATGCTCCAATAGAGGGAAAGTGGATGATGCAGGAGGGAGAAAGGGCAATTATAAGAAAGAAAGGAAAACAACCATGGGTAGTCTAGAGAAGATGGACTCTAGCCACCAGTGGGGAGGATGGCCTTAGAAGCACAGACAGATCATCTTTCATGACAAGAAGGAAGGCAGAGAATCTACGAGCACAAATACAGGAGAGTTGGTAGATTTAGTGGTGGGACCTCATAGACATTCTCTTTGATCGCCTCTGCCTTCTCAGTGAAATAAAAGGTCAACAGCTGAGAGTGAGGAGGGTGGAGATGGTATTAGAAGTTTGAGGAGGAAGGAGAAAGTGTAATAGTCATCTTAGAGAACAGAAGAGTAAATTGGCTAGGGTAATAGGATAGGTGAGCAGTACTAGGGGCCCAGTTAAGGTAGTGTTTATGAGCTTAAAGTGAGGATGGTCAAACATGTTATGTTGCTCTCCAGCTACTTTCCACTACTCTGGTGTAGGCTTGGAATAGATGGACAGTTGGATTCAACCAGAGTTGGAGTTTAGTCCAGTGGGAGGAGAGAGAGAGAAGGGGTCCAGGGAGTTAAGGGCATATTCTAGGGAGTGATTATTTTGACCTTTGGGTTCCAGGCTGGGTGAGACATGAGGAAACTGAAGAGCAGGTTGATCTTGTAGCCTCTTTCCTCCACAGATCTGTACGCCACAACCCATTTCAACAGTGATCCTGCTCTGCTGGTCAGTGTAGAGCAGCAGCTACCCACCAGCCCCAGTGACTTAACACCAGCACATGGTTCTTTCTCAAACAACTCTGTCCTGGGAAACTCTCTGCGAACACTGATGCTGCCATCTGGGACTTCAGAAGACAGAGAGATTTTGGCCAAGAGGTCATTAAGCCCGTCGAAGAGAGGATTCAAACGGAAGGACAATATCCTTGCCACCCTGAACCCAAAGCATGGTTTCAGAGAGGCTGCAGGCAGTGAGGCAAGTGTTGGCTATTTGTGCTTGTGGACAACATGCATCAGGGCCAAGACCAGAATGGGGTTCTGTTGGGTGTGGCGGTAGTTCTGACCAAAAGTGCTAGAAATTGAAAGGGGTTTTCAGAGGCCACTCGTTAGCACTGCCCAGTCAAAGCCTGTGGTTCTTCCGCCCTGGGAAAAGTCATTCCCCTTCTGTTAACATTTCCTTATTTCTGCCACAGGGAGAACTGTCCCAGATCTACTTCCAGAGTTTAAACATGGTGAAAAGTACTTTGATAATAAGAAGTGCCAGACAAGTGTTTACCGAGGAAGGAATGCCATAGGCAGTACAGGGGGCTCAGGATTGTCACAAGATTGATCTCTGTGGCTTTGATGTTTATAATCTCATTATCTTTACACATTTGTTTCTGCCACAAATGACTAACTTGTTTGTCTTTGTTTGAAAAAATCAATGCTATTCTGTCTAGAAATTGATTAGCAGCAAGGAGATGATGAATTAGATGCAGATGAATTAGATTATTCAAGGGACTTTTAGCAGAAAGTGGTTCAGAGAATAAACACAAAATTGAGGATCATTGCCACACCTACAGTCCAAGTCATTTTATAAAATTGTAGTATGATGGTGTTGTACAATAAGACCTCATAATTATTCTGTTATTACTAATTGTCAATTTTTGTTAATTTAAAAATGGCTTATTTTAGCTTACTGAATCAAAGGTATTAATAAGTAATGGGTCCAGTAACTAAATTCTAAATATTATAGGGCATTTATGTTGATAAAACAGTAATATTAGTGTGAAGTACTTGCTAATTTATGCCTATTGGGTACATTCCTCCACGGAGAATGTCTTCCACTCTCCTCTCTTGTCTGTTTAAATGCTAATTATTCTCGCAAGTCCTGCTGTCACCATGAAATTTTTTCTTCAGTTAGGGAAACCACAGCTGTTAGGGGCCTCTCCTCCTTTGGGCTTCCCATGATCCTTTGTCATATGAATCACTTGTCATTTGATCATTTACTGTCCTATAAGGAAGAAAGTTCTTCATGAGCACAGTTAAGTGTTCTGGAATTCCTGCTCTTTGCAATGTTATCCATAATTTGTTATGGTCCACATAGTCAAATCCCTTTTCATAGTCACTAAAACACAGGTAAACATCTTTCTGGTATTCTCTGCTTTCAGCCAAGATACATCTGACATCAACAGTGATATCCCTCATTCCACGCCCTCTTCTGAATTTGGCTTCAATTTCTGACGGTTTTCTGTTTATGTACTGCCTCAACTGGTTTTGAATTATTTTCAGTGCAATTTTCTTTTTTATGATACTAATAATACTGTTCAATAATTTCCACATTCTGTTGGATCACCTTTCTTTGGAATGAGTACAGATATGAATCTCTTCCAATTGGTTGGAAGAGGTAGCTGTGTTCCAAATTTCTTGACATAAATGAGTGATTGTTTCCAGTATTGCATGCATTTGTTGGAATTTCTCATTGGGTATTCCATCAATTCTTGGAGCCTTGATTTTTGCCAATGCCTTCAGTGAAGTTGGGACTTCTTCCTTCAGTACTGCTGGTTCTCGATCATATGATACTCCTGAAATAGGTGAACATTGACCAGTTCTTCTTGGTACAGTGACTGTGTATTCTTTCCATCTTCTTTTAATGGTTCCTGCATTGTTTGATATTTTGCCCATAGAATCCTTCAACGTTGTAACTCGAGGCTTGAATTTTTTCTTCAGTTCTTTCAGCTTGAGAAATACTGAATGTGTTCTTCCCTTTTGATTTTGCACATTTCATTATAATATTTTACTTATGGAAATCTTCTGTTCAGCTTTTTTTTTTTAAGTCATCGTTTCTTCCATTCAATTTAGCTACTCTTCATTCAAGAGCAAGTTTCAGTGTCTCCTCTGACATATGTTTTGGTCTTTTCTTTCTTACATAGACCAAAATACAGTAGTTTGGGTAGAATAAGGGATTCTGCATGGTTTCAAATGAGGAAAAGTGTGCAGCAGGGTTGTATCCTTTCACCAGACTTTCAATCTGTATGCTGAGCAAATAATCCCAGAAGCTAGACTCTGTGAAGGAGAACGTGACATCAGAATTAGAGGAAGACTAATCAACCTGCGATATGCAGATCACACAACGTTGCTTGATGAAAGTGAAGAAGACTGAAAGCACTTACTGATGAAAATAAAAACTTCAGGGTTAAATATGGATTACACTTCAACATAAAGAAAACTAATATCTTCACAACTGAGCCAATATGCAACATCGTGATAAATGGAGAAAAGACTGAAGTCAAGGATTTCATTTTAGTTGCATCCACAATCAATGGCCATGGAAGCAGCAGTCTAGAAATCAAACAACATACTGTACTGGGCAAATCTGCAAAAGACCTGTTTAAAGAGTTAAAGAGCAAAGATGTCACTTTGAAGACTGGCCCAGGCGATGGTGTTTTCAGTAGCCTTATACGCATGTGAGAAATGGACAAGGAATAAGGAAGAGCACAAAAGAATTGGAGAATCGATGCATTTGAATTGTGGAGTTGGCTAAGAATACTGAATATATCATAGACTGCCAGAACGGTGAACAAATCTGTCTTAGAAGAAGTACAGCCAGAGTGCTCCATACTTTCTTTGCTCAAGTTATCAGGAGGGACCAGTTCCTGGAGAAGGGTGTCATGCTGGGTAAAGCAGAAGGTCAGTGAAAAAGAGAAAGACCCTCAACAAGATGGATTGACATGGTGGCTGCAACAATGGGCTCTAGCATGGCAACAGATAGGAAGATGGTGCAGGATCAAGCAGTGTTTTGTTCTGTGGTACGTGGGGTCAGTGAGAGTTGAAACTGACTCAACAGCACCTAACAACAAGGAAGCAAGCGATCTGGTCAAAAGTACCTATTTCTAATCACTTACGTTTTTAGATGTTAGAAATCTTTTGGGGTGATGGGTTTATAGGTTTTGTGTGTGTAGGTGTGTGTGTGTGTGTGTTTTCCTCTTTACATATTTTTGATTCACTTTCCAGAACTTTAGAGGTATGGCAGATATTGAGAGAGGTTATAATTTTTGTGTACCAAAGGGGGCAGTCTTGTAATACTTACTTAGTAGCTTTTTGGTCTCTTCCCTCCCACACCCCCATTTTCAGCCACTGATACTTTATCAGACAAGAGCACTTTAAATGTTTATGTATTTAGGGTGAAAATACAGCAACACTGGGTATTGAAATACTGTATCAATAAGACCTGTTCCAGGAAATTTTTTCACATCTATTTCATGTTCTATTGTTAAAATAGCAATTAAAATCTCAATTCATTCTAAAATTGTTCTTTTCTGGACTATCTTTAAAAAACTCCTATTTCTTTTTTCCTATTAGACATAGCTTCTTCTACCTGAAAGCCTGAAAAGAGCTGCTTGAATAAAAATATAAAAGAAATATGTTGTTCAGTTTCTACGAAGGTGTAAGGCAGAAAATAGCTAAAAAGAAAAGAGCACTTAAATTTTTGAAAAAGAAAAAAAAAACTGCTTCACAGTCAGATGTGATAACATTAAGTAATTATCTGTAGGGTTTTTTTTTTTTTTAAACATTGAAAGCACCAAAGATTGAGAACTCATTTGCCTGTTCTTTGTATCAGCTTTCTGGAAGTCCATGGTAACATACAGGAGAGACTGACAGATCTGTAGAGTAAAGCTCACTATTGTTTTTTATTCATTCAGAAATGAATATATATGATTCCTATTGAATAAAATTATCTTTGGTACTGGGCCCAACAATGACATTTAAAATGTTACAGGACATTTATGTTTATTATAAATTAATATATTAAATATAAGCTTATTGTGACCTAAAATTTTATTAAATTACTCCCCATTTTCATTTCATGATATATAATAGTTTTTTTTTAATGTTCTGCCATTTAATCTTTCCATTATTATGTTACAAAATATATTGAATCACAGATGTAGGTGTCAAACAACATGCTTTTGGTTTCCTTCTGAAAATCCTTCCAGAAAATTATGATTTAAAAAAAAAAAAAAACTCACTGCCATTGAGTTGATTCCGACTTATAGTGATCCGCTTTGGGTTTCCCAGGGGGTAAATCTTTACGGAAGTAGATTGTCCAGTCTTCCTTCTCTGGAGTGGCTGGTGAGTTTGAACCACCAATCTTCTGGTTAGCGGTCAAATGCCTTAGGCACTATGCCATATTAACTTTGAATTATATCTTCTTATATTTATTTTCTATGTAAATAATGATACTCAAATCCAAACTGAAAGGTGAGAAAATACATGTTTTTTTAATGTTAACACTTCAAGTGTCTGAGTTCTTACTTCCCTTCTTGCGTAAGAATGACAATGGTTGTTTTTTTTCCTTGAGTCTCTCTCTAGTGACCTGGGCAGTTTGCATGGTTTGCCAGGAAACCACAGTCCCCCGCTCCCTGCCAGAACCTCCCATGTGGCGACTGTCCTCAGACAGCTCCTAGAGCTTGTGGATAAGCACTGGAACGGCTCGGGCTCCCTCCTCCTCAACAAGAAGTTCCTTGGTGAGTCTGTCAATTTCCTGGGAAGGGCTTCCGCCTTGCTTCTGCTCTGTGTTCTGGTGAAAGCCGTTTAGCTGCCTTAGCGTGCAAGGAAAATGGTTTTTGTGGTCACTTTCCAGATCTTCTCAGGAACACAGTCATTATCTGCACTTCTTCATCCCTGTTTCTAATCAGCTCTCTTTCCTCATGTGCTATTGGTTTTGTTCCTCTGATTTTTTTGGTAGTCACTGATAATAGAGACCGGCCAGATCTGGGACACTGAGAGCCCGTCATGTTCATGAATACAAAAAGATTTTATGATCCTTGGGAAAGGGCCAAGGGAAACTGGGTTTGATCAGAGTTCCGAGATGACAATTGAAATGTTAGGATTTGAAAAACTATAGCTAGTAAAGTAACCTGGGCTCTTTGTCATTCAGTGTGTAGTGGAGTATTTTTTGGTGGTTGTTGCTGGTTTCTTTTTGTGTGTGTGGTTAGAAAAATGGACAGATGAACAGTTTTGCAAATGCCAGTCCTCATGTGTTTATCTGTTGATTAATGGAAGAAGAGTTCAAAGAGCTTTTGTTGGTGGTAAAAGTTTAAAAACTAGGAACTTAAAATTTGGGTTTTGTTGTTGTTTTTCCCCTCCTTCTATTTTCTAAAGAGATACACAGGGAAAAGAAATCCTGGCCCAGTTGTTTTCCTTTCCATGTTAACCCTTTGCTCTAATTTTGTAGACAATACTTCCTTGGAGCCACTGGTCAGCAGTGGGGAGTGCGCAGACCTCACGCTCAGACGGGATCTGCTGCTGTTTCACCAGAGATGATGTGGCATATAATCTTTTCCTTTATAAAACACCTCTTGCAACCACATACTAAAATACTTGTATTTATAAAAGGAAACAATTAGCTTACTCTTTTGTCCTACAGAGCTGGCAGTTATACTGTAGGAATTCTGTGCTTTGGCCTTTTTTTTTAAATTGTGATTTAGGTAAAAGTCTACAGAGCAAATTGATTTTACATTCAACAATCCATACACTTTTTGTTTTGTGATATTTATTACAATCCCCACAATATAATAGCTCTCTTCCCACTTCCTCCCTGTGTTTACCATTTCTCTTGTCCTTTTTTTCTTTCCCTTCTTGCCTTCTGAGCTTTATCCCTGGGAAAATGCTGCCCTTTTGATCTGAAAAGGTTGATTATTCTAAAGAGTGTATACTTTCCTGGCATTATTGTTCACCTTACAGCTCTATTGTTTGGCTGAAGATTGAGTCGTGGGGGTGGGCTCAGTTCCCAGCTTAAAGGGTGACTAAGGGCCATAGTCTCTGTGGTTCTACCAGTCTCTATCAGACCTTTGTTCCACATTTTTCTCCCACTCTATCTGGGACCTCCTACTGTGATCTATTTCAGAATGGTCAGCAGTAGCAGCTGGGCACCATCTAGTTCTTCTGGTCTCAGGGTCATGGAGGCTGGGGTACATGTGCTCCAATAGTCCTTTAGATTAACTGTATCTGTGTCTTTGATTTTCTTCACTCTTCTTTGTTCCAGATGAGGAGAAAATAATAGTAGCTCCTTAAATGGCCACTCACAAGCTTTTAAGACCCCAGTCACTAGTCACCAAGACAGGATGTAGAACATTGTTTTTGTGGACTTTGTTATGTCAATTGACCTTAATGTCCCCCAAGACTATAGTCCTGAGCCCCCAGGCCCAGCATCTCCTTTCCTCAAGGTATTGGTTTGACTAAGAAGTTTTCATAACTTTGCTGTCTGTATGTTCTACTATATTTATGGGATATTTGAAGCACATATAGATACATAAGTAGAAATACCCTCTGGCAAACTTATATATATTCATTGGTGTGGTGCCATTGACTTTTCCACCCCTATTTAGCTTGAGTGTCTATGTATGTACTCGTAGTTTGTTATTACTGTTCTTGCAGGATTGTGTGCGTAATAGTATTCACCTTTGTTGCCTTTAACTCTTGTGCTCCTCCCATGTCTTCCTTTGCCTCGATCATTTGTGCTGACCTCCCCTTTATTGTATATTGCCTTTGCCTTCACCGGAGTCGATACATGGCTCCCTTTTAGTTCGCGATTTACCTTTCCTTCCCCCTCTACCCCTGGTAGCCTTCAAAGAATGATTATTTCTGTGTGTAAACTACCTTTTCTGATTTTTTACAGTAGTGGGTTCATACAATATGTGTCCTTTTGTGATTGACTAATTTCACTCAGCACAGTGTCCTCTAGGTACCAATTTTGCTTAGCATAACATCCTCTAGGCTCATCCATGTTATGAGATGTATCACAGATTTTTTGTTGTTGTTTAATGTTGCATAGTATTCCACTGTGTATATATACCATAGGTTTTTTGTTTTAATCTTTTCATCCATTGATGCGCACTTAGGTTGTTTCCATCTCTTTGCTATTGTGAATAATGCTGCAATAAACATTGGTAAATGTATGTCTGTCTGAGCCACAAATCTTACTTCTTTTGGATATATACCTAATAGTGGAATTGCTGGGTCATATGGTATTTCTCTTTTCAACTTTTTAAGGAAGCGCCATACCATTTTCCACAGTGGTTGTACCACTTTAGTCTCACCAGCAGTGTATGAGGGTTCTAGTCTCTCCACACCTTTACAGGCATTTGTCATTTTCTTTTTCTTTTTTTTTTTTTTTTTTGTTTTTACATACCTTATTTTCTATTTTCTGTCACACATACCCTACCTCTCTTCCCAAATTTCTTTTTCTTTTTTTTTTTTTTTTTTGTTTTTAACTTTGCTACTAATGCTGGGGTGAGATGATATCTCATAGTTGTTTTGATTTGCATTTTTCTAATTGCTAATGATCACGAGCATTTCTTGATGTGTTTGTTAGCTGCCTGAATGTCTTCTTTGGTGACGGGTCTGTTCATGTCCTCTGCCCATTTTTTAATTGGATGGTTTGTCTTCTTGCTGTTGAGGTATTAAAGTTTTCTATAAATTTTAGAGATTAGTCCCTTGTCCAATATGTCATTGCCAAAATATTTTCTTTTTACTTTTTTAGTGAAATCTTTTGATGCACATAAATGATTAAGCTTTGTTGTTGTTGTTGTTGTTAAGTGCCGTCGAGTCGTTTCCGACTCATAGCGACCCCATGCACAGCAGAACGAAACACTGCCCGATCCCGCACCAGCCCC